ATATATATATATATATATATATATATATATATATATGCTGACAGACCCGACATCTATACCATAAACCTCGACTTATGTTAGGACAGTCCTGAGCAAGTGTCCCTTACTTTATCATAACATAATGCTTCAGTTCCTCATTCTTATTAAATTTACTCTTATGAAGTTATTTATCCAAACAGGAAAAGGGAGAAATGCTATTTTGCATTCATTAGTTATGATTAAATTAAAAGGAGAATACAGCAGTATAAGTAAAAATTTTTAACAGCAAACGAAGAAAAGCTATTTTTCACTCATGAATTAGGCTTACAACCTTCGGCCTCCATTCGTGGTAATTCACACAAATACAGGAAAGAGGGGAAGAAGGAAGCAACGAGCTAATATCTTTAATTCATGTCATATAAATCACACTAAAGACTTCTAAATAATTCCAACAATCAACAAGTAAACAAGTACATATTGCATAACTCTATTACATGATATATTTTATTGGTTGATTCTTTTTCGAGTTAAGAATAATCATTTCTGAGCAGTATTCTGCGTTAAGTAAGTTGAAAGAACGATATTTTAAGGTTGATAAATCATATAAATTCTGAATTTGTGCAAGTACCAAAACACAGGAAATATGCGACAGAAAATTATGGGACGATGAATTCATAAAGCTTTACAACCATGAATAGAAAACTGGAATATGATTATAAGAAAAGATGAAACAATTTTACAAATAGGCAGGAAAGAATAGCGGGAATGATTTAAAAGAGATGATAGCAAAGGATAATTACAGTTAAAATGAAAGAAGGCAGGAATGGGTACGTACCTTTGCGCCTATAATCCTCCATAATATATCATCGTTAATTCACATGGAATGTAATTCAAACAATGCAGTGATAAGATGCAAATTTACTTGGCTAAGTGTATTCAAAGTACTGAGTGAATCAAAAACAGAAAAAGAAATAGGGAGTAAATAGATGAACAAGATGAGGTATTCAGCATTCATGCCTGAGTAGGGACTAACGCTGATGGGCTCCTCACCAGTTGTACTATTGATTTTGCAGGCACTAAAAAATCGACAAAAATGATAAGTGTTTTTAAATCTTTAATGTATTTCATGTATAATTTAAATGCACCGACTACACATTTCGCAAGTATCAAAAAGACCAAATAAAAAATTTTTGAGCTTAAATCGATAGACCGCATATGGACGGCGAGAAATGGGTTCATAAGTACGTTTAAATAGAACCTACGGATGAAAGCCCAGTTGAAGCACTCATAAAATTAGAAATTACAAGACCATCCACAGTATCTGAATGCATCTCCTCCTACAAGCAATATATGGAGCGAGACAAGAATATAATTCTATGTACGATGAAAAAACAAAGAACTGATACAGCTCACATTTAACTCTAATTATTGCACCAATATCAATGGTTGATATAAAAAATAAAACAAGAAAAATGCTTCAGTTCAACTTCAACTATTATATAAGTAACAAAATCAGAGATGGAATTGGTTGAAAAAGAAAATCAATGAACAATGAAAGAAAAACACTTGGAAATGCATTAGAAATACATCTGGAAATGTAGAAAGATTTATCCATTGAGGTCATGGCATTTTCAAATGGATTTGGAAAAGAAAACGTAACCAAGTAATAAAAATTGTAGCAGAGGCAAACGAAGAGTATAATGCAACTTATTTGAGCGAATGATTATTACATAACCAATAAAAGTGACAGCTGAAATTGCTACATTTGATTTTTTACACAGCAATTATGACAAATAAGCAAATTTAAATCATTTAAGAGTCAACTGAAAGAGATTCAAAGAGAAAAATTCCATATACAGTCAGAAAATATCCTAACACCGTAAATAAGATAATAATCAAGAAAATTCTAAGACATGCCCTTCTTGAAAATTCGCAGTCGAAAAGGTCTTTTGATCAGTCTATTATCTATTATATTTGAGTAGACAACCCTCCACTGTCATTATTTTTCCTCTGTCCTTCTGAGAAACAATTATCGACAGCGATATCACTATCACTTGAAAATGCAGTCCCGACGATTCGTTTCATTCACATCCCATTACGCTGGATATACATTATTTCCGTACTTATAGCAACGGAAAGGGCAATAACTATACTGAAGGGAAGGAAGTGATATCCCACTGCTTACCAACCGTAGTGAAAGAGAAAAAATCAATCCTTCCAGACAATAAACTAAAACTGAAATATAATTTCGAAAAAGTACAAATAGACTTTACCCACAATCAGTAGATTTTATGCAGTTGAAACAGTAAGCAGTTATTTTTTGTTAGAATTAAGCAAACATATCACACAAACACAACTCTAACTTCCTGCTTCGTGAATAGCTGTTACTTTTGCACTCGCAAGTTAAAATCGCAAAGGAGAAAAGTGAGGAAGGAAAACAAAGATGCAAGAAATGATTACTGTGGATTATTATGACAATAACGTAGGCCAGCAGACCCCTTAAAAATCGCAACTTTCCAAGTCGCACAGTTCCATACCCAAAATTGTCGAGACCTGTTTTTTGTTGTTCACATCATTCGGCAGTAGCTGGTTTTTTTTTTCCGCAAATGCAGTGGTAACTTGATTATTTGATGTCCGCAGGACCGATTTCTCGTTTCTGGATATCAATTCATCGTCAGTGATCGTTGCAACAGTGATATGCTGAGGTCCAGTTCCGAAAAATGTTCGTTTACAATCGCGTATCGTCGTGTACGGATAACCGCTGATTCGTTGCCGGGCTTGAAGACTTGTGGTAGATGTTAACAGACTGGGTTTAAGTTCATTATTGTCCATAATATCAACAGAAAGACAATGCCTCTCAATAGGATGATGCGTTTTTCTTACATCGCCATCACCGTTAACTTTTCTTATTTCTTCCCTATCTCCTACGCAATCAGCTCTACTAGCAGCCGAAACTAAAACATTTTCGATATTTTGAAGATATTGTTGTTGATGATGATTGGAGTGCCTACCACAGTTAGAGCTAATGTGGTCGACTGCTGCAACGGTACCCATCGAATAACTTCCAGCACATCGTGCAGCCATAATCGAATAAGTGCTGGGCGGTGGTACCGGCCAATCCTGTACATCTAAAAGAAAAAATGAACCAGACAAAACATGTCCCAAAAATATAAGACGTTCAGGAAATTAAGATTTATCTGAAAGGAAAATGTTCCGAAAAGAAGAATCCCCGTAAGTGCAAAAAGTTTCCTAGTGAAAATATACAGTTACGTAACTAATGCACTATCGAGCAAGATTTCATCGTTAATAGGCGTTAAATCATGTTAAGTGCAATAAAATTTATTAACATACAATATTTCAGCCTTAAAATTTAGTAATCGAGTGCCAAAAGTACTGGTCTAACTCTAACACATCAAGCAGTGCGATGTCAACATATTCAAAGCAGCACAACAGAAAATCCAATGCAACTTCAAAAAAATCCAAATAAATCCCTTTGATATTCTAGCATAATTTCCTGTACAAATAAACAAGATACGATCAGCTTATCTTTCTGACTTCTTTGATATAGAAAGATCTTCCTCTGGGTATTTTAGCTGAACACGCTTTATATCTTTATATCTGATCTCTAGAGAACAGAATACAACTATTACTCTCCTTCACACCCATACGCAGAAAGAAGTACTACCATAGAGAACTTGTAAAACTAAATATCAAATTAACTGTTATACGGATGAGAATATAATTTTCGTTAGTGGTAATTGTTTACTATGACGGTAAGTACACTTAATTCAGACTAGAATAGTTTTGCTTGCCTTAAAAAAACATAAAAACACCACTTTCGACTCCGTCTACCGTCTTTAAATTACCAAAATGTTTCAGAACTCCTGAACAGAAAATAATTCTATTAACTCAAAAAACAAATTGAACTGATATTTGATAATCAAGAGAAAATATCATCCAACAGTAAATAGTTTCTTTCAGATAATTTCTGATTTCAAACTAACAAAGTAAAATGACTTACTAGCTGGTGTAACGAACCGCAGTCGTGAATCATTTTCATCAAATCGTACTGTTCGTCCAGTTATACGAGCATAAAACTCGTAACTTTCTCGTGGAAATAGATTTGCATAACCAAAATTTTCAATAATTCTTGAGATAATCTCGGAAGCAATTTTGAATCGTACCACGTCTTCCATCTTCGCCTTAAAAAAGAGCACAAGTCGAAGACAATGGTAAAATTGAATTTGTAAACATAAATGATAAATTAATCTATTAAGAATTTTACTTTTGTAGCGATAGCAACGCAGTTTTATCTCTACTAAAAAAAGGTCGTGAAAAAAAAGAAAAAAAATCCAATGCCTTCATTATTCTACCATCTCTGTTAAGAAGAGCATTATAATGCAATCTAGAGTTTGAAATTTAACAGTCAATAAACAACAAAACATATTCATCTACACTACGGCTTCTATTGAATTAACTGTATATAAAATCACAAGCCATAAAATTAAAAGCATACGAACCCGTTGTCCGTCATGAATACACGAATGGAAAAGTGAAGGCGCTACGGAAATTCCAAGAGCTTCCGTTGTCATCCTTGAGCCAAATGAATCGGCTGATTCTGAGATCATATAAAAAGTACCAAAAAGTAATACAAGCAAGTGCTGTGACGGGATCGGTAAACTGCTTAATACTCTGAAACTACAATTCACTTAACTTTTCTCACTTTAACAACTGAATTTCAATAAAGTGTAAGAGAGGCATACTACCACAAAGATTACAATAATAGGAAGGTTGAATCTCAGTAGCGGCTAAAAATATTTATGGTCCACAATCAATTTAGTTTGATCCTGTACCTGACAATGGCAACTCTTCTATAGGACGTGAAAAATCAATTTTTAAACTGAAAATACAAGGCAAAGTGAACTTGAAAACTTGAAAAGAAAAAACAATGAAGGAAAAAATAAAGAATCGGTAGGTGTCAAACAAATTAATCAGTATTAAGTGAAACTCACCGACAAAAGGACTGTCTCTGCAATTCTAGATCTGATGATAAAGTATACAAATCAAAAAGTTTCTGTTCATTTTCGAGACCAAATATGCCACTCGGCAATTTCGACAAAAACTTCTAAAATGTAAGAAACTGAAAAAAAAATACAGGAAAAGTGCATGTTTAACAATAGTTAGAGAAAATGATAAATAGTCAAGCAGTATGATAGCTATATTCTGTGTGTTGCTATTAAATAGAATTAGACTGCATCCTAAATATGCTCTATAACTGAATCCAGATCCATATTTCGATCATACAACTTCTAGATGAATTTATTTTATGTGAATAATTTCATCCCAAACGTGATTAACCGACCAAATCAGAAAAGTACAAGTACTGCGAATAACGAAAAAATCTACAATAAAGACACTAGAGTCGTCAATAAAAAGATATCTGTACTGACCTAATGAACATTGGCAAACCATAAGGATCGATATCAAGCAATTATATACAAACCTTTTACTAATAGCAATAAAAAAAGCCCACATTCACCTTAATAACAGATGCAGCAGTATAAACACTAAAATTGGCAATATTTACAAGCCTTCCGTGTTGCATGATATGTGAAAGCTTTCGCACTTGAGCCTGATTACCCGGTGCACGCCAGATATCCTTTTTAGCGGGACCATCTTTATGTACTTTTAACAGCAGTACCTGCAAAACAAACTCAGTTAAAAAATTTCGTTTACCGGCTAAATGACAGTTGGTTTGCAAGAGCATCTTTTATTCAACAAAAGCTCTTCTTCTGAATACTGAACCATAAAAAAGCTCAAAATCTCGAACAGCAAAAATAAAACTGGAACACGAAATGGTCCAACATTTCTTTCGATTTTCTCTCCCTGCCAGAATGTATTAAGCAGTAATCAGTTAAATTCACTGAACTTATTCGTATTCAAATACAACACAAATATTCCAGCAAGTAAAAAAAGGAGTAACTCAAGTAAGTTAGCCACATAAAAATCAATACCGATCCCCAATTCATTGAGCATAGCTTGAAACACACAGCCGTAAAAATAAAGCTTAATATTACTTACTAATAAAGTAGCAGGTATATCGTGAGCGAAGGCTTCCTCAATTGGGACTCCAAACTTGACTCTGCAATAATTCGAAGATATTGAGGCAACAGGAATTAAATTCCTCGGTGCAGGAGTACTATAAATTAGGAAACTAATTAAATGGCGAATATTTCCCGAATTTACACTGTAGAGGAGAAATGGGAAATGATGGGAATAAGAAACTAATGCTAATTACTTCAAATACTTCAGCAGTCTTGAAATCTAAATAAAATAGTCATTCTAACCATTTTCAAACGTGAATATCGAGGGTGATGAGCAGCAACAATTCAAGAAATTAAACTATTTGGGATTTGTTTTTCATTTTCCAGCAGAGAAAAAAGGTGAAGAAAACTAGAACAAAATGGTCAAAATGGTCAAAATGTGATTCTTCAGAATGAATGGTACGATTTTGTTCTTTTTATGAGATTAGCAAACGAAGTTAAAACGTCCAGACCAAGCCTAATTCTATTTATAAAATTCTTTCCTCTCAGCGATACCCTATAAGAAAAACAAACCTGCCACAGACCAAAAATTCTTTCCACAGTTCACTAATTTAATATTTTATTTACGAAATATAAATAATATGTTTAATTTGTTAACAATCGTTAGCACTAAGAAGGTATACAATGATTGACAGAAAGTATTGCAACGAGCAATAAATTGTACCAAAATAAATAAACTAACTTTTCGATTCGTCCCCGATACCTGTGTTGAGGGTCGTCACTATTGCCACAAATGACCATTGTATAACCTAGTGTGGCCACAGTCATACCGTTCTCCTCCGCTTTTTGCGGTATGTTACTACTATTACTTGTCCTGTTTATTCCGACCTATATTCCAATACGTCAATACGATCTCGTTACCTCGCAACAATTGCCACCTCTGTCTTCCCACACTTGCAACAGCAAAAACGTTAACGCACTTAGAACGAAATCCTTGCTTTAATACAATATCTTTCTGTTTAATTCGATAGCAAATCAGTTGACCAGATTAGTAAAACAGTCGTCGAAGTGTAATTCGCTGACAGTATTGAAATCAGCGAATGATACGGCAACCATTCAATACAAAATAGCGACAGTTCATAAGTAATGAAAGTGTTATTTTAATAACAAGTTACCGCAACCTCCCTTATTCGAAATGCCTGAAATTTGACTGACATAATTTAAATTTTATGCAAATGAGAGAGATTGATAATATAATGGATAACGTAAATAATGGAAATGAAGTCACGCTGAACGAAACAACAAAACAATCGGCTTATCAAGCATGACGAAATGTCCAGCAATGAATTACTGAATGCTCTTACAGATAAGAAAGATATTACATAAATCAAAGAAGTCTTAATAAACAAATATTACATAAATACTTGGTATATCATTCAACGCAGCATTGACAGATGCAAATTATGCAGATACCAATTAACAAGTTTTTGTCAAACACACGTGTCATTTAACGTCCCTATACACATGTTACTTAACGTCTATATATTTTATTCATATTTTAATGCTTAACTTATGATGACACTTGGTTAAATTACTGATTTAATATACAAATATAGTGTCAGTTTAAATTGCCAACGTGTATTTACTTTCGTGAGTTACAGGAACCTGAAGTATACTTACGTGAAAGTGCCTAGCATTCCAAAAGCATTCGTCCATTATTGATGAATAATATATTAAAACGCCACATTAGGTAATTTAAAACAATAAATGCCAGTTGCTCTCAAACAATTTTCAACATTTACATAGCCCCACCGCACATCGTACGTGAATTTTAGCGGTCAAATTGTTCGGATTCGGTGGCTATAGACAGTGACTAAATAACCATAACGTTTTGTTTTAACGACAAGTTGGGGTGGTATTTTTAATGTTGAATAATTTGTCATTACATGTAATTCATAAAAGATTGTCTAATTTTATTACTACAAATCTTCTCACGTTGTTTGTTCACGTTCATCACGTTGAGCGTGCGTAAGTCATCACAGAGGGACACGACATGCTGAGTGATTAGAAGGTGCTAATGGCTATTTCTATATTTATGAGAAAGCCTGCTCCCTGTCCCATTTTTGCTTCTTCTACCCATCAACCTTGAAAATAATCATTAATGTTATAATAGGCATTGACCATATGAAATGAAAATTGGAAGCCATTCACCATGAATTGTAAGGATGAGAAAGGTAAAGGAAGGATAAATGAAAAGGGATGCGTAATGTCTCTTGGCTTCAGAGCTATTTTTATGGCATAGTGGATGGTCAACGGTCTTTACAGAATAGGAGTATTTCCTAGCTATTTCTATATTTCTTCGCCAATAGGCTTGTCCAGTCTTCACTGAATACAAATAAAATGATTGATACAAATTATGGATGTGGATATTGCACTAGTCAGAGGGAGAGACGGAGAGAGAAGGAGAGAAAAGAAAGGAGCAGGAAGTGTATTTTGTTGATATCAGAAGATAAAGAGTGCTGAATTTTTTTTTTTGTGCCTCAGGACACGTAGCAGTTGAGGTTACTGATAATTACCGTCATTTTTCCTTCCAGACACCATGTTTCAGTATTTCAGCTTCCTTTCTGATAGCCAAAGCAGTGTAGAATAATGATTGTAAGTGACACATATAATGATCATGATGAGGATAATTGCTGGATAGAAAAGTAGTGATAATTATATAGTAAAAGTTGTCAACAGTGATAAGGGAATGACAAGTGATAACAATAACGAAAAAGAAAGCATCATTACCACTAGCATAACCATTCGTTATTATCGTTGACTTACCATAATCATAAATATGATCTCTCTATCCAACGGTCATCTTCATCATCAAAGATGAAATTTTATGTGATTTTATAAGCTGCAATTTATTTGGAATATAATGCAAAGCTTATAATCCACAGAACCCATAATTTTGCATCCTCAGAATAAATGCAAGGTTTTGAAGATAGCGCTGTAGTTTCACGGATTGCTGAAGTTTTGTTTCTTCAATCTTGAATTACTCAACGTTTTAATATGCAAAAAGAAAATAGTGAATTTAGCAAAAGACGAGTGATAATAATAATAGTAGTAGTAAATGGTCTTAAAAACAAAGACAGTATTAACGTGATAAAAAAATCTCCTTCTACTTTATCTCCTTCTACTTTTCTTGACATATATTCAATTTACTCCTTTTATTTTTCCCAATGACCATAGTATTATTGTTAAGTGACGATTCATAGAATGATTTTGTCCTTAATTAAAAGATTTTAAAGTTATTAAAAGAAATTTGAAGAGCCTTAAAGTTGGCAAGCTATTTTAAGATTACTATGAAATCAAGGATGAATAACAATTGAACAGTTTGAATTCAATTCTTTCTTTTTAACACTAAAGATTATACGCTGCATATAACGAAAAAGATCTGAACGATTTAAAACTGCCACAAGTAAATTTTATTAATTTGTTTTTCCATATTCGCACAGCCTTCTGTTTAACAGACTAAATTTTCATTGTTACAAGAAGAATATTTATGATATTAAGTAAAATAAGCGATAATAATGTGAACGAATTAATAGATATCCTGTAGGATTTACATATCAGACGAACAATGTTTTTGATAATAATCATACAGGAATGAATCATGCATTAATTTAATTCAGGTAAATTTAAAGTTATGAAGCAGTACTTTAGATGATGATTGTATGGAAGCAAGAATTCGAGTAATTACAATAATAAATATCTTCACCGAATGGAAAAGATGCATACGTGATGAATAGATGTCATGAATATGATGAATAGATGTGGAGTATTAAGTCATCAAATAAGTTAAGTGAAAAATAATGAGAATTCCTTCAATAATTATCACCATCATTAACAAGTATAAGAGATCTTTGCTAATTTGGATACAATATCGCTATAGCTAATAAAAACCAATCGCTATATAAATTAATCGCTTATCGCTACAGTTAATAGAAATTAAAATATGTTTAATTTCTTGAAGTAGAAGAAGTAGGTTAGTGAATAATTTTTCGCCACTGCAATTAGCTTCTTCCAGTGAAGTGTTGGAGCAGGTAATTTTTTCCCCAAAAATTTCAAAAAATGTGCATTATCGACCGGCCCGGTAAGTTATGAAAATTCTGGGAGGTAACCTTTGCCTAAAATGAATTTGAATAGGAAATGGCATGACAACAGAAAAGATTTGTGGAGATTTTATAGAAATCGAAATCAAAACAAATTGCCTTAAATTTAAAACCTTAAATACGAGTTAAAATTTAGAACAAACATTTATTGGAAATCAAATTTTTCAAAATGGGGCATACTTCATTTCGAATGTCACTGATAACTCAACTCTAGTTCTGCTCAATTCGTGTACGCACAGCTCATTTGTATGTTATTCCTGGAAGGTGTCAGGCACATTAATCAAAATCTTCTAAAACAAAAAAAGTGGAAAATTTCTTTGTGATGTTTCTGAATGAAAACCAATCATTTTGAAGACCAGGTAAAGTAGGGTGAAACGATCAATTAGAAAATACTGGTTAGAATTTACGTAGAGATAATGTTAGAACTATAAAGGCTTTTTAGAGTTAACTGAGCCAAATTATTCGTTAACCGAGTAAAGAGTGAAGTCATAGTATATACTATAAAATTATGGTATCCCTGTTGTGACCGATGTATAGTGACCAATGAGAAGGTGATTTTAAGCATTGTGCATTTTAAATAGAAGTTTTTAACGAATTACGAAATAAATTAGAATGCATTAGAATAATAAAATAATGCATTGATGCAATAAGAATTTTATTTTGATTTAACCTTATTTAGCAATGCTAAAGATTTGTCCTGGATGAAATTTAAATTCGTAATAAAGATAAGTTCGCATAATATGAATTTATGAATGGAATAAACAAAATCTAAGACGCTTACAAACAAAAGAAAGAAAAGGAATTATTTCAAGAAAAAGAACTTTAAAATTCAATATCTTATCATCCACAAACAAAGACAAAAAGAAAAGTTTTGTTTTCCTCTGCAACAATGAATCTCAATAATGTATTACTGAATCTGGGAAAAATTATTCCGAAGAAAAAATGCTACTCCTTTTTGAAGTATCATCAAATAGTAAAAAGTGATGAATGATGACAGGGGAAGTGTTAAAGGTCAACCGGAAATATTCTTTTGACAAAAAATTAAATTTTGTTTGTTTTGTAATGAATTCAAAAGCCTTTTTTAAATTTTTCTCGTTTTTTTTCCTTTTTTGTGAATGGTGCAATTTTTGGATTTTATATTTCATTTTGATAAGAGTTGTAAGGTTGTTGATTCCGAAAAATCTAATTAAAAGTCGGTATGTAAATTTTAGAAGTGGAGTGTTTGCAAAGGAGAATGATAGTAAAGGGGGAAGGGAAAATATTAGATTAGCAGAAAAACAGGAAAGGTTGAAATCCGGATAACGGATATGATCATCAAATGGTAAATCTATGAATTTGTAATCTCTGCATTTTCCATAAAAGATATATGGCAAGGAAAAAAAAAAAATAAATGACGAAAGAGGAAATTGCGTCCATTCTTGCTATGATGAATGAATGAATTGCCTCCATATGATGAATTGAAATTTCAAAATTTACGAAAAACGTCACTATAGAATCTATTCTTGTTTCTGATGCTAAATCAAAGGAAGAAGGTTAGAGAGAAAGAGAGAAAGAAAAAAAGGAATTTCAATTGTTGATGAACTGAAAATGGAATATTTTGAATTTCAACAATATTTCAATCACTTCTTTCATAAATTCGACCAGTTAGAAAATGATGATTGATAATATTTCAGACAACTCACAAATAATGATCAATGTAGAAATGGACAACAAGAGAGAAAAAGAGGTGGTGGGAGAGAGAGAGAGAAACCAATTTACATGCTATTGCTGAATTTATATAAACTCACTAAATGACCTCATTGTACACATGGCGAAAGGGGACATCGATAATGATGATAATTGTCACAACATTCACATATATGTATATATATGTGTC